TGCGCTCCTCGTCGTGAGAAAGCGGAGTAGCAAGCTCAACTGGGCTGTGCTCGACATGAGCCGGAGTAGATGTGCCCGGAGAGGTGTCTGTTGATGCTGGAGTGCGTGGTGTTGCCGGCTGTGGTGGAGCCGGCGAAGAACTCATCGCAGCCGAGGTCCTGGCTGGAGAGCGTGGTGCTATCGGAGTAGCAGGCGCCGGGGTCGGTGGAGGCTCGGGGACTGGGGTAGACGCGCTCGCCGAAGAAGAGCTGCCTACTCCCCCAGCTCCCTCAAAGTGGACGGACTCGACAATGAAGTCGTCATACATCGGAGCCGAACCATCGTCCACCGCCTTGTCCCACGCCCATCCTCGCCCTTCGTCGAACACAACGTCGCGCGCCGTGCGCACACGCTGTGTCTTCGGGTCGAGGATGCGGTAGGCCTTCGAGCCCTCCGCGTAGCCGATGAACACTCCCGGAGTGCTCCTGTCATCGAGCTTGCTGATGTGGCCAAGCTCCTTGGCGAACGCGAGGCAGCCGAAGACCCATTGGTGAGAGACCGCCGGCTTGCGCCCATGCCAAGCATCGTATGGCGTCCTGCCATTGAGCGCCTTGGTAGGCAAGCTGTTGAGGATGTAGACAGCCGTCACCACCACCTCTCCCCAGAAGACAGCTAGCATCCCCCTCTGCTTGAGGAGGGCCCGAGCCATCCCCACAACCGTCTGGTTGCGCCGCTCGACGACGCCGTTCTGCTGCGGGCTGTATGGCCCGGAGTAGTGGAGCTGAATGCCCTCGTTAGCGCAGTACGACACGAATTCAGCCGCCGTGAATTCACCGCCGTTGTCGATGCGCAGCACGCGTAGCTTGCGGCCGCACTCCGCCTCCGCAGCAGCCTGCGCACGCCTGATGGCGTCCGTAGCCTCTCCCTTGCTGCCGAGGACCATCACCCACATGTAGCGGGAGAGGTCGTCGACGAGCAGCAGGAAGTAGTGTCGTCCTCCCGGTGTGGCCGGTGTCACCGGGCAACACAAGTCCCCGTGCACAAGCTCGAGCCTCTCCTTGGCTCGAAAGCTAGCCCGCTGTGGAAAGGGGAGTCGCCTCTGCTTCGTCAGCACGCAGACGTCGCAGAGCTGCTCCACATGGTCGAGGCACGGCAGGCCTCGCACCATCTCCATGGCACTGAGCCGCTTTAGGGCCTCAAAGTGAAGGTGCCCAAAACGCTCGTGCCACTGCCACGCCTCGTCATCCCGATGAGCAGCGAGACAGAGGGGTTGTGCCACCTACACGTTAAGGATGTAGAGTCGATTTGCGCTTCTGGATACCTTGGCAAGAAGGCGACGACGACGATCCCAAATCCTCATGACTCCATCCTCAACCACCACACGCGAACCGTTCTCATCCAGCTATCCCAAGCTGATGATGGAGTTCCTCAACGCGGGGATGTAGTAGACTCCGGTGAGCAGCCTGTGCTCACCAGACACGGTGGTGAAGATGACGGAGCCGACGCCCTTGATCTCCACGCCGGAGGCATCCCCAAACTTGATGGAGCCTCGGACGCTAGAGTCAAGCTCGGTGAAGAACTCCCGTCGACCGGTCATGTGATGGGTGGCACCGGTGTCGAGGCACCACCCGTCAGTCTTGTCGTTGTCGGAGCTGTTGCCGAGGAGGGCATGTGCTTTTGGCTCATCAAGGTGGAGGAGAGCCGCTGCGGCCAGTGCCGCTGGAGGTAGCTCGATGCTGGCATGTGCCATGAATAGAGCCGGCTCCTCCTCCTCCGCTTTGTCTGACGTGGGCCACAGCGCATCATGGTCGCCGACAGCCCTTGGCCCAATAGCCAAGCCGGCGCCGAGCTTCGCGGCGGTGTGTCGCCTCATGCCGGCTTGTGCTTGCCGGCGACGCCGCCCTAGGCGCCTCAGGGCATCACCCTCAAGACGCGTCCTCACGCCCGACTGGCGTCTCTGCATAGCGCTTTGCGCGGCTTGCCACGCTTATGTCACTGTCATGGAAGAAGGCTCCCCCTCCTCCGGTCACCTTGGTCGGCAAGCCACCGCTCCCGAAAGAGAAGGAGCTTCCGCCAGCAGGGTGATGGGCCCCGAGAGGGACTGTGGTTCATCGCTGTCGACGACCTTGAGGCGACCTATCACCTCCTCGATCGACATCATGGAGAGATCTAGCAGAGACTCGATCGAGCGGGCCATCTGCTTGTACTTCTCGGGGACGCAGCGGAAGAGCTTTTTGATAGCTCTCTCCTCGCCGTAGGTGTCGTCGCCGAACTGCACCATCTTCTGCAATAGAGTGTTGAGAAGGAGAGCAAAGTTATCAACATCCTCACTTGCTTGAAGGCCAAGTTCTCCCACCTCATGCGGTGCTCGTAGTGTGGACTTGCGGGCGCGGTCGCTGCCGATGCGTGCCGCAGCGATGGCGTCCCAAGCCTCCTTGGCAGTCCGCTTGTTGGTAAGCGAGAACTGCATCTCGGGCGGGACTGCAGCGATGAGGGCATCCAGCGCCCGTCGATCTAGGTCGTAGTCGACGTCGCCGTACCGGACTGCCTCCCACATGTGCCGCACCTGGAGCTTTACCCTCATCACCGCAGCCCACTCGACGTAGTTGGTCTTGGTGAGGGTAGGCCACCCACCGCCGGGACCGACGTCCCTGACAACAGCCTGGAGCCCGTGGTAACCACGGTACCGATCCGGGGAGAGAGAGCCACGCTGCCTGTGAAGGCCGTGCTCTCCATCGACCCGTCGGTACCGATCCGGGGAGAGAGAGCCACGCTGCCTGTGAAGGCCGCGCTCTCCATCGACCCGTCCGCCACCGTTGCCGTGCGCGCCTCCTCCAGGAGCGCCGCCGCCGTGCGCGCCTCCTCCATGAGCGCCGCCACCGTGAGTGCCTCCACCAGAGCCGCCAAGACGTCCGCGTGGCGCCTCCACCGGGAGCGCCGCCAGGCACCACCGCCGCCGCGCCTCCTCCAGGCGCCGCCGCCGCGTCTGCGCTGTCGTCGGGCTGCCGCCACGCGCTGCCAGTGAGCGCCACCGCCATGCGCCTCCTCCTCTCTAGCAGCTCGAGCGCGCGGCGGTGTCGTCGCGAAAAATGGAGCTGCTGATCTTGCCAGATCCGACCGCTGCTGCCAAGCCTTCGATGTCTTTGCTGCCGCCAGCTCATGGTCTGCCTGCCGCCGCTGCCGCCTTCTTTGTCGCCGCCAAGTTTGGCCTCTCCGCCTCGCCGCCGCAGTGCTCGAGGCGACTCGACGCCCGAGACGAGGCGATGGACATGACGCATGGCTACCGACGGGCTGCTGCGCTGGGGGGAGGGAGCTGCCTTGCACGAGCCGCCGCCTGCTGTGCAGAGGGAGAGGAGTGAGCAGGGGCGGCCGGAGGAGCTGCTTGCCAATAATAGCCAATGCTTGTTGGGGGTCGGAGGAGATGATGAGGAGATGCTCAAAGCACAGTATATAGTACTGGCTCTGATACCAGTTGTTAGTCGTTGAACTCTCACTCTTGGTAGTAGCAGAATTCTTACTCTCATCGAGAGAGGATGACACTAGGAGTTGGGGCAATTTTCTGGTTTATTTCTCACACAAACTCACACAAATGCCATGCCAACCTGAGGGGTTAGGGTTACATATTTATAGGCTGCTAGCTAGCCAAACATATGCCAAGATGCTAGTCTAAGATGCTAGTCTAAGATGCTAATATGCTGTCCTACCTAAGATGCTGTCCTCTAGTCTAAGATGCTGTCTTCTAAGATGCTGTCCTCTAGTCTAAGATGCTGTCCTCTAGTCTAATGTGCTGTCCTAAAAACAGAAAAACAGCCACAAGGACCATATGAGCAGCACAGCCCCACAAAGACTAACCGCACATGAGACTTATCCATCACTGTCTACCAATGGATCATAAAGCCTCAAAGCATAATAAAAGAGAATGAATTGTTTCTTCCTGGTCGGATGTCATTCATTTACAATATGGTAATGCCTTAAAAAAGATTCCCATGCTAATTTGTGTGCTTCATCGCATTGAGTTGTTTATGATACAGTTTAGAATAATCATGCATTGCAAATTGCAGACTATAGGCATTAAGTCTTCCCTATTCCCCCCACCACAGAAATGATCAGATGCATAAATTATTTTATTTTCATAACTCATTAGTGTTTATTTGTACCGACAGACATATGCTATGTATGTATAAATATTAAAAAGCATTCTGAGATTATATTGTTTTTAACTTCTTAAGATATATTTAGCCTTATTCTGAGAAGTTAAAATGCTTATGTTATGATTATTTGTGAGTTTTTTTATTATACATCATGCATGATTATGTTCCCTTCTATAATAAGAGAATATCTGTCTGTTTCTCTTCTCATCAGCTGAAGCACAGAACTTTAATCAGTTTTTGAAGTTCTTACCTGGGAATTGAGTAGCCTTCTGATTTTATTATGCTTCATAGTATTCAAGTATAGTGTTGATTTATTTTATATCTCTGATGGTATGATTTATATGCAAATTTGATTGCTGTTGCAGTTCATGATGGCCTCATAGTTGCAACCAACACTTGTACAGTACTTTCTCTATGTTCATGTTCTGTTAGGACAACCATGAATCACATGCCAGAAACCATAAGTGGCTCACAGTTGGGATGTAATGTTTAAATTTGCTAGATACAAACTTTCAACGGATTTTTCTCAGAAGCATAGAATGGAGATGTAGAGGTTCCAGCATAGCCTATTCTCATGAAGTAGCTAATATTCTCTAGTTATTTTCTTTTGCATTCCAACTTATGTTGTACCATTTCATCTGTAAAAAGGGCAGACCTAGTGCCGGAGGCTCCCACATGAGTGGGGTCTGGGGAAGGAAAAAACCGAGGCAAGCCTTCTCCCGCAAAATTTGTGGAGAGACTGCTTCGAACTCACGACCTAGTGACTTAGTGAGACAGCTCTTACCACTGCACCAGGCCTACCCTTCTGTACCATTTCCTCTGTGTGATAATAAATCTTCTTTAAATCCAACCAGGAGGAGGGAATAACCAATGATATTCCAACAACTCTTCATAGGAGCAAAGCTGATTGCCCGAGGTATTAGACAATATGGCGTATAACTTCTTGGTGTGTCTTATGAGTTTTATTAATAACCTTCTTACTTCTGCAGGAGATGGTAAACTGTCAGCGTGGATGGTTCTGTACTTGACCGGATTGCTAAAATTATGACATACCTTCGACTTGGATCTTCAGGGAAGGTCTTAAAGAAAAAGAAAAAAAGAGAGAGATATAAAAGGTGTGTTCATGAGTTTAAATGCTGTACTAGTAGATTAGATCCTTTGAATTAGAAACATAGAACCGGAAAACTTGCATGATAAAGCCCCGTTCGCTTCGCTGAAAAAACAAACCGAAACACTGTTTCGGCTGATTTATTGTGAGAGAAAAACACTGTTAAACAAACTAAAAAAGACGGATTATAAGAGAAGCAAACAGAGCCAAGACACGAAAAAAATATACTAAAGTGATTTTTTTGTAAGAACTGTGTATGTATTTATATATTTTAGTTACATAGTAAAGTTGCTACTGTTGCCAGGGTGCATGCGTCTTGTATCAATTGTTTGGCTTATAAGCCATACTTTTTCAGCCAACGAACAGTATTTTTCTCTCACATCAAATCAGCTAACAGTACTTTCAGCCATGGCTTATCAGCCAAACAAGCCCAAACGAACATGGCATGTATGTAAAGTATTCTTTTAGGAATTGTCTTGGTGCATGATGGATTAGATATCTTGTTAATGCATTATGTTTGCTACAATGCAGGGAAGAACAATTTGGCAAGCGGTGACTATGACGAGGCAGTAAAACCTTCACAAACTAATGGTTCTGCTCTGAAACATCAATCAGATATGCCACCACCACCAGCTCCACCCCCTCGGAACAATAATTTCAATGGAAAGGAGAAACAATTGGTCCCTATTGCTAGAGCAGACGATGATGACATTTTTGTCAGAGATGGAGTTGATTATTCAGTTCCTAACAAGGAAATGAGCCAAAGCCCTGTTTCTGAGGATATGGAGGAATCAACACATAACCAGCAGAAGCAGTCCTATTTCACTGAACCCATGTAAGGCCCAGTACCACCATCTGAATGTGCTCAAGCTTGGCAACAGCCGGTAAGCCAATAAATGTTCAGTGACTTGTTCTGTAATTTGAACCATGCACTTTGAAACCTATTTTTAGTTTTCTGTACATTTTATTCAGGTTGGTCATAATACCTAACGTCTCTTCTGGTGCCAGAATGGGTATTGGAGCACTCAGTTTTAACAATAAAACCAGATACGCACCATATATGAGCCCAGGAAGTCAAATTTCACATATAGCTATAAATAAGGGTAATATCGAAAAACAATGCTCAAAATATAACGTACTTAGTATAAAGGATATAACCTTATACAACAAACAGCGAAAAGACAACTCTGATCTTCAGGTGAAGACTCCAATTCCATAGAGACAACTGACTGGTTCATCACAAACCTAATTCCTCCAAACTCTAGCAATCTGGTACCCAACCGGGATTTTTATCCAAATAATTAAAAAATAAAGCAAGTGTAAGTAAATGTCGTACTCAACAAATATATCATGGGGTTCATGAGGCTCAAAAGGCTGACACTGGTTTAGCTGTAATTAGCTTTTAATGAGTCATCTTTTTGCAATTGGGTGAAAACAAGTTTATTCATAAGCCCAAATAAACACATGATCAGGTAAACATGAATAATGAATAGCATAAACAGTAATCATTAGTGAGCATCTTCATCATCCGTATCATCAGTGTTCATCATCTATTCCATAAGGGTTCCAAAGCCGTTCGTGACCATAAACACGGATGATATACCAGTTTTACACTCTGCAAAGGTTGTACACTTTTACTGTGAGTCGTGATTTACCCTTTCGCCCGAGGTGATCAGTCTTTTGACCCACTACCAAGGAAGGTCGGCAGGGTTCACTAAGAAGTCTTTTAAACGTTCGTCTAACAAGTTAAGGCCATTAGATTCACTCGACAAATAGATGTAAAGTCCCCCTTTCCGATGGCACAATGACGCGCCACCTATACACAAGGGGACAGAGGCCGCACTATACCCGTTTTGTCAAGCCATTCTTACGCCAACAAAGATAACCTCTAACAAGCTAGAAAAGGTTCTCATACTGAGCTAAAGCCAGAGCCATGTGGCCCTCACAGTTGTACTGTAAGTCCCGGATGATCACTTACAGATAAGTCCTTAGGGAGAAGAATCTAGAGCACCATAAAATAGCCCAATGCTCTAGCCCCCTTATTCCATGTTGCTAAAAAGTATCTTTTAATGTTTATTGCATATTCCATTAGTCAAGTTACAAGATCATAGTCTTTAATTGAGCACTAGCATCATACTACCCAATACAAAACCCCATAGGTAATAAGGAATCCAGGATATTAAATAGCTAGGAAAATTATTACGGTTGCTAAGGTAGACACATGCATATAAATTAAATGATTAAAGGTATATAGGACAACAAGGAAGATCCCATGATATACTTGCCTTAAAACTCTGATCTCTTTTTAGTCCAAATCTTCAAAGATCTGCTTCTTGATTCACCACGTATAGCCCACCGACTGGACATGTTCATAAAGCACCACACAAACATCCATGTAATCATACAAGAAGCAAACAATAGAACTAAATTAGAACAGTACACTAGCAAGTAAAAATGTTTTAAAGATGTTCTACATGTTGCTACGAACACACATACACGAAAAACACGCTAATCAGAGCTATAACAGAAAAGCTATTAATTAAATAAGATTGCCTTTAATAAAATAATAGATTAAATCTAAAATTGAATTTCAAAAGTTAAGCATATATTTAACAGTAGGATGAACATGTAAATTACGCAATCACGAATCTAACGCAACTTGAACGGGTCAAATCGGAGTTAAAGCGAGAAGTTATGGCCTAAACAAGGCTAGTGGCGAAACTGTAAATAGATGAAAACGTATTTTGAATCTACTAGAAGAAAACTACGCTTCCAGAATAGAAAAACGTATTCTGGGAATTCCATGGATTGCGGGTTGGAACTTAAAATCTTGCAGGGGCTCTTATGCAAAATTAGCAGGCGAAGGGGTATCGCCTGATCTGGATCGTTGGATTGAGATTGGACGGTGGGGACTAGATCCAGCAGGGGAGAGAGAGGTTGCTGGCCGGAATAGGGAGAGAAGGCGGCGGTGGACATGGCCGACGGGACCGAGTTCATCGGTGCAACCCAAAAATGGTCCTAGAGACCACGATTCGACGTGGGGATTACACAGGGAGAAAGAGGACGGCGAGGCGAACTCACCTCGGCACTTTTTGTGGTTGGAGACGACACGGAGACAACGCACGGTGCTCGGCGACGGACGACTATGGTGGTGCTAGGGTTGCGATGGTGGCACGATGACTCGACGAGCGAGGCGGCTGCTGCTTAGGGTTATGCGGGGTATCGGCGTGGTGCGGGCGACTGCTATTTATGGCCTGGGGAGCTTGGTGCGCAAGGCAAGGCACAGAGACGTGGCGGCATCGGGCTTCCATGGCACGGCAGAGAGTCCTAGGCGGCTACGTCGTAAGGAGGAAGAACACTGATAGACGGGTCCCACCAGTCGGCCACCGAAGGAGCGGGGCCCGCGCGTCAGTGGAACATGGTGGAAGAGAGGAGGTGGGTGCGTCCGCGCGTGGGCTTTCCTGCTGAGCTGCCAACTGGGCTACGGGAAGAGGGAGAAGGAGATGGGTCACGGGGTAAGGCCGGCACCAAGGAGAGAGGGGAGAGGAGCAAGCCTTTGGGATAGAAATGAAAGAGAGGGAGAAGAGTTTTTCTATTTTTCTATTTTTTTCTTTTTACTAAATTCTAGTTTTAAATCCATTTTCAAATCATTTCAAAAGCATTTGAAATAATTTTAAATTTTTGGACAAAACCACTCATCAGAAAAATAAGTATGCATCAGCATGAATGCACAAAAATGTTGCTAAATTCCTATGATAAATTTAATTCAATGAAAATTATTATTTTTCCTATATTTCATGAGCATAAAAATTCAAAATTAACTCAATTTACATCTATTTAAAAAGAAGCAAATTTTAGGGTGTTCCAATTCTACCACCCTTAAGATGAATCTCGTCCTCGAGATTCGGAAGACATCGACTAGGAGATAGGGATACTCCGTCTTTGGATTCTACTTTACTTCCTCGTGTAGTTCTATCATCTTGATAAGGATCCCACTTTACTTTACATACCTGTTAACCTTACTCCAAGTATCTTGCCAAATTGATTTCAAGATTCTGACAGATACTCCAAACAATACTCAGGTAACTCCAATCACTAGGTCACCTTTCCTTTTTAGTCCATACTTATTAGACCTCTTTCTTCATATGTTCACCTTCCAATGGAGCCTTCTTACTTTCTTGATCCAAAGTAGGTTCAATGACCAACTTTAAAACATTAATGACTTTATATGCTCAGGTTAAGCTGCTCAACTCTCAAGCACAATTCTAAGTCCATGTTGTTGTCTGAATCTTCTTAGCATAACTCTCTCTTGCTAAAGTCATCGGCAATGACTTTTGCTTCTCCAAGTGATAGCACTTTTGCAAGTCATAAAACCTTGATTGCTTCAATCCAACAATGATGTCACAAGCTCAAACCATCTTAGTGAAAATGTCCTTTAGATTCTTATGACCCACCTAGATGTCACTTGTCATGCCCAAGTAGATAGTATCTCCATGCTCCACAATGGATAACTCTAGATCATACATCAGATGTTCATTCTCATGTTTTCTTGCATCTATTTTTTCTTCTTGCATAAGGACACATTCCACACCTTTGACAGGGTGCATCATAGTGGATATAAAGCTCTTGTCCTGATTTGGCAAAGCTAATACTTAGGTTTTACTTCAACCTCTCTCTTTTTTACTCCTTCAAATACTTAGCTAAAGTCTCTTGATCTGAACTTAAAACCTTTTCCAGTAATACTATCAATAACTTGATGATCTTGGTTAAACCTCCCTTGAACCTCTAATCAAATCTCATCATTGAAAACCCTGAGTTTCTCTCTCACATCCTTGAGTAACACCTTTCTTATCAGATTAACCGATTCTTCCAAGTGAGAGCTAGAGAGCATAACTGAACTTCATATGGCACCTTGAGCATTCGGACCCTTCTTAGTTTGATAGTTTGCATAGATGTGATCGTCTATCTTATTGATCTCCTCCAAAGGTTTTGATCCTAGAACCTATGGGTTATGGGCCCACCACGCTTCTGCTGTGCAAACCAGAACGTATGATACTTCATCTTACAAATCCTTCAACTTGGCTACCCCCTTAAGAAAAGATAAAGTAGGGGACACCAAAGTATACTTTGCATCTCCTTTTTGGTAGACTGACTATCATAATGGCCTTCTGACATCCCAGAGAACGCATGTGTATATCTAAGAACAAACAACTTGATTTTTCCTCGTGGAATAAAAACAGCAGTTCACTAAAATAGATGTAACTCTCATTCCATTAATCCAATGAAGTTGTAGCTTGTACCATTGGAAGTCTTATCAAATCCTCCACAAGTTCCTTATATAACACTTTTCCAAATTTTGCAGTTCATGTAGTCGAAAACAGTGCACAACAAAAACTGCTCTAGGTTTTAGACAGCACAGGTGCATCGTCTTGTGATTTTCATAACTCCATAACTAAAATAGATATCAAGGTGATTCTTGCGGTCAGAGAAATATATTGAAATCTACTATCGTACAGAATTTTTCTATGATTTTTGGTCATCAAAAAACAGAGATATAAGCCAAAGAGTGCAGGCTGCTCCAAAAAGACAGGATAGAGAAAACAGGAGATAATCAAAACCCAACTATTTATTCCATTAATCCTTATACCTTAGGCCTATGAACTAAATGAAATTGTGGGAACATCCAACAAGATCATTACAATCATTACAAAGATTCAAAACAAGCATAAACACCATGACAATTCAACAAAGCAATAAAGGTGCACAACTCAATCATTGACTCGACTTGCGATACTATCGTTTTTATTACATGAAGGACATAAACTCCTATTCCTTAACC